GTTAGGGGCAAAAATCACCTGGAGAATTTGTTTAAAATCCCAGCCCCTCCCTCAAAGCCTGTGATCCAGGTAGTGCTCAGAATGAGGATTTGAGCAAGCTCCTCAGGTATTCCTGATGCAGGCGTGCTCGGAGTGCCCAGGGTTCCAAGGTGGAAACCCAGCCAAAGAGCATCATGGGGCTGGAGCAGGTGCAGCGGGCAGATGCGTGAGTAGCCATGCTGGGCGGTAAGCCAGCCCTGTGCTTAGCCTGTTGGGTGCCCTGACTCCCTTCTGCTACTCTCATGGCGGTGGGGGCAGCACTCTCCACCATGCAGGAGCCTCCTACTGCTGCATCCTCAGCTCTGGCCACATCGTGCTGCCACCCCCATGCTCCAGAACTTTCAGTTGCTTAAACATCACGCTATGTCTGACCCCCTGGCCTTTGCTCAGACTGTCCTTTCTGCTTAGAATGCCCTTCTTTCCTACCTCCCATCCTCCATTCTCCCCCATTTGCATGGCCAACGTGTACCATTTCCATGTCCCCTCCTCTAGGAAACCTTCCCAAGACTGGGTCAGTCACCCCTTTCTATGTGCTCCCATAGCACCCCAGCATACTGTTGTCCTCATGTGATTTTCCACTTACTGGTCTTACTGTGGAGTCCTGAGGGCTGTTGCCAAATGCTTCTGGCTTTTCTCCTTCCAGGTAAAATGTCGGGTTGCACTTGCCCATCCCCTTGATGGTGAGTGGGGCATGTGGCTAGAACTAAGATCACAAATGGGAGACCCTCTAGAGCTTTCTTGTTATCTCCAATCCAGCAACCTGCAACATTAGAGATGGTGGATTCCCTGAATAAGTACAGTGAACCTAGCCCTCCTGCCAATCTGTGATGGGCATGTTTCTTTGATGAGAATAAATCCTAATTGTTTTCAGCCATTGCAATTTGGGGGTCTGTTTGTTATTGCAGTAAAACCTAGCCCAGCCTGACTGATTCACATGCTTTATTCATTTTTTTTTGTATCTCCAAACCCTTGGTCCAACTCCTAGCATAAAACAGATACATAAGAAAATTCCAATCACTGTTGCTCTTGGCTGTTAAACTGACCTTAAAGACCAGGCAGAGCTTCCAAGACACATCACCCTGTGCCCTTCACGACTTCTCTGGTGATACAGGACTCTCCCTGTAGGCACCCCAAAGTAGTCCCATACAAGGAAGTACAAATGTCAACTCCTCTGACCTTTCAACAGCTCAGACAGGCTCCTGGATGGATCCCAGTTAACCATGAGCTGCCACCACCCACTTGGCTTGGTAAAGGCTCTGGTGAGGGAGGGAACCTCTTAACTGTCATCTTGCTTATTAACTTGTAATGATCCCTCAACCTCCAGGACAGCTCCCAAGGAAAGCATCAGAGAGGACCCTGTGCCTACTCTAGGTTACCATTCTTGCTTTTAGAGAAGCTCTGAAAGAAAGAAAGTTCATCCTCGTTGCCTCTTCAGTCCCCTATCTCTGTGGCTTTTTCCTCTTGCCAGCTTGCTGGGTCCCAAGCTCACCTCCTGTTCCCCGTCCTGCCCCCAGACAGTGCAGGAGCTAAAACAATCAAGAAGTTCACACTGAGGTGCAAATATGGAAGGCACCACTCCCGTAAAGTCAGCCTGGCACATCAAATGGTGAAATTGCAGGAGTTTTTGGACTTTGTACATCCTAGAAGGATGCAGGTCATAGAGAGTCAGAGCTGCAACTACTTTATCCACGGGGACACTGCAGCCCAGACTTTGCCTGAGGTTTCCCAGCTTTGAGGACGGTAGATTCCAGATGATTTGAGATGATGGGTGTTTTGTTTCCTTTTCCCAGGGGGTCCCAGCTCAAGGCAGTGCAGAGCAGCTGATGGGGTCAGAATTGGGCAGAGTGTGCGACAGTCACAGAGGATACCCCAGGAAACAGGGACAGTGCTGATTTGATGTTCCTGGGACGACAGGTTTGCACAGCTGCAGCCCCAAGCCCCAGCGACATGCTTATTCTCAAACCCTCATTCTTAGTGAGGCCGGTGTGGGTGCCACACTTGTCCAAGAACTCTCTGTGCATCCCAAGGTCGCTTTCCAAGAAGCCTGTAACGCCTATCACATCTGTAGATGGCCTTGTACTTCCCAAGGTCCCTTCACATCCTCAGATCTTGATAGTCCTACCAGGAGGGAAGAACATTATTGTCCATGTTCAACAGTGGATGGACTATGACTTAGAGAGAGGAAAAAAGGGTCTTGGTTCACACGGCAAGTCAGTGACAGAGCCAAGATGGAGCCTGGGCCTCGAGGCCCTATGACTAGTGTCCTGCCTGCTTTACTATGGTGTTCTGGTAAGAAACGGCAAGAGGGGGAAGTTTCTGGAAGTTTCACACTGGCGTGTGCACACACACATGTACACATTTTCAAAATGCTGGCCAGTCCCGTTGACATATTATCACTGGGGCTCCGAGACAGATGTCCATGTAGGAGACCACTGAGCCCCTGTGAGTGGAGTCCTGACCCCCAGGGGGTCGCCCAGCTGAGGCTGCCAAGGCGCCTGGGATCCAGGAAGGGCTGTCTCAGCCAAGCCTCATGGCCTTCTCTCCTCATGGTGTACAAGGAGGTGCTGTTGGCTGAGGGGCTCCTCATGGTGAACATGTGGTTGCCGGTGGGTTCTGGGGCTCATCTGGTTCAAATTTTCATAATTGGACTCCTGAGCCTGGGGCCTGTGGACGGGAGAAAGTTGGCTGACCATCCAGTACAGGAGGGGGTCCCCCAACTGCCCAAACCACAGCCCAGCAAGGGGCAGGAAGGAGAGACGAGGTGGGCATTGGGACCTGGATCCGACAGGGGCTGGAGGCGGATGGAAGGCTGGAGGCAGGGCAGTGGGAGAACTTGTGGAATGGGAGGGAGCTACCTCGGGTGACAGCATCCCAGACTGCAGTGTCTATCTTCTCAAAAGGATCTTGTCCGTGGCTTCAAAACCAACCTTCGTGTCCCTGACCTCCAGACCCATATTCCCAGACCTGGCCTCCTGAGCTCCAACTGCTCTAAGGACTTCGGAGACGTCTGAACGGACACCTCAAATCAAAATGTGTTTGCAGGATCCTCACCACCACCCCTGCCTTCTCTCCTCAGCTTCATCTCAGTAAGTGGCGCCCAGAGTTCCAGCTCCAAATCAGGGCTCCCTCCCTCGCTCATGCTGCCCACTCAGTCCTCGGGCCAGCCCTGCCTTCTGTCTGCCCCTTCTCCTTGCCTCCACTACGGCCACCTTCATCCAGGCAGCCATGACAGCCTCAGCCTTGGCCAACAGCCCCCTCACGTCTCCTGCTCCCCACTTGTTCAGATGGGGCCACTTGCCTGCTTGCAACCATTCAGTGACTTTCCATTGCACTCAGAATAAATCCTGCAGCCTGCCAGCACTTGCCGCTCCCTTTCCTGGTCTCCCTAAGCCTTTCAACTTGCCTTTTCCTTCTGGATCGCCTCCACTACCCCTGCCCGCCCCTCCGAGCTCCAGCCTCAGGTCTCCTCAATGTTGTGTCCTCAGAGAGAACAACTTAAGTAGCCACAGCCCAGCGGCCACCTCCCTATCCTGGAGTTCTACTTCATTGCCTTGTCCATTTCCTTCACAGCTCTTATTTTACAATCTAAGTTGATCTTGTTTATGTTTTATTAAAATTCTCCATATTAAAATGTGAGTTCTCTGAGGTCGGGGATTTTTGCTGTATCGTTAGCATCCAAAATATATGTGCCTGGTACATAGTAGGTACTATGCGAACATTCAAGTTTCTGATTTAGTGCCTTGATGAGGTAGCAAGTTAGCAAAGAAAAGAACCATTGCACAGGTATTTGAGAATGTGGGGGATAGCAGGCAGCCGAGAGGGGCCTGGGCTGGCAGTGTGGCCTTTCCACCCCTCGGGACACAGGTGGAGTGGAATTATGGTAGCTGAGCCTGGGCTTGTGTAATGGGCCCTGGAAGGCTGTGATCGTCCCACCCCATATCCCTACCCTCAACCATCCCGGGCAGACCGCCCAGGGTCTGAATTGGATTCTTTCTTCTTCAACATGGGCTTCACTTGGACAGGCACTGAGAGGAGGGGGACATGGATGAGATGGTCAACAACTTCCTAGCAGGGTCCCTGGACCCCTCACCTAAGCCCTCAGAACCTCTAATGACATTTTTTGCAAAGCCTTTGGCAGGGTGTCTGGGAGACTGCATGGCGTTTGTGTGAGTCTGCCTGTTCGAGAGCACTTGGCACTGCGAGAAGAAGCACAGCCTTGAGGAAGCACATCTAGGTGCTGAGCTAAGATAGACACACAGAAAAATGACCCTTCAGCACCAGGACACCAGGCAGGTCTGGGAGAGATGTCAGTGTGAGGCCCAGAAAATCCTGGAAGTGGGGTGGGGCGAGGGTGGGGAGAGCAGATCATCATGGCCTGGTTTGGCCCAAGAAGGGCTTGGTGGACTGCTGGAGCTGGTCTTTGGAAGGCTGCAGGTAGGGCCGAGGCCCTGGTCAGGGCTGGGACCCCAGCTCTGGCCGTTTGCTTATTCTTACTCCTCATGCCACCAGCCCTGGGACTAGAGCTGGGTGACATGAGGTGGGGTTGGGGTAGCTCACTTACCGTGGTGGGTTGTCCTGGGTGACTTGGTGCTCTGTATGAGGAAAGAAAGGAAGGGGGGGAGTGGGAGGGAGAGAGGACATGAATCTCTATGGTAGCCTCCATGCTACAGTCCCAGCTGCCCACCCCATCCCACTGTGGAGAGTGGTCTGAAGAGAATGTGTGACAAACAGCAAGCTAGCAGGATATGAAGAAATGGGCTGAAAGATGCTGGGAGTTACCCAGAGGGGTGGAGTGAGAAGCGATCTATCAGAAAAACCCGCCTTCTGAGGACCCTGCACACAGAATGTTTGTAGAGTCTGAAGAACCAGCAAGAGCGCTAGCCAGGCCTAGGCCCTCCCTGTGGCCTTCCAAAGCTCCCCTCCATCAGCCCACCAAGCCCTTCTCGGGCCAGAGTGGGCCACACGGACCTGCTCTCTTCACCCTACTCCCAGCACTCACAGTCTGGGCCTCACACTGGCAAAGATGGCAGCCAAGGTAACTATGAAAAATTTTGGGTTTCATTCCAGAGTGTGTGCTCCGGACCCGAGTGGTCTGAGAGACTCTGGGAAGCCCCCTCTCTAGGGCATAGAATAGATTTCCCACCTCGCCCAGAGAGAGGCGTGTGGGACACACTGCAGCTCTCTGGAGACATTCTGCTAGTTTACCCTTTCACACTGCTGTACATGCTGTTCCCTCTGCTGGCAGTACCACTAGCTCCTTGTTTTCTTAGCTCCTGCCTACTTCCAGTTTTTCATTTCACGCTCGCCTTACTTGGGTAAAGCCTTCCTTCCTGGCCCCTGTCCATGTGCCCATCAGAGTGAGGCATACATACCTTGGGCTTCCTCAGTACCCAGGTTCTAGGATAGCACTTCTGCAGATTGCAATTAACTGCTTACTCCTCAGCACCTCATTCAAGGGGCGGGAACCATGTCTTATTCATCTCTGTATTCCTAGCACCTACACAGCACGTAGTAGGTCCTCAGGATGCTCGTTGTAACTAGTGGGATGGTGCCATTTGGGAAAGCCTGTGTGTGGTCATAGATCATGGGGAGTCCTTTGTGGGGTGGTGGTAAAGGGTCAGGCTCCAGAGCTATAGGTCCTGGTCTCTATCTGTGATTTTGGGCTAGACTAGAGGTGAAGTTGTTTAACCTCGCTGGCCTCAGCTTCCTGATTGTAAAATGGCCTCACGCTGGTTCCCACTTCCTGGGCCTGATGCAGGGAGATGATGCATAGGCACAGAAATGATGTTTTGGTTGTGTCATGCCAGGTGGTCGACTAGATGGCCTTACCTAAAAGGAGAGCCCAGCCTCACCCCTCCACTTGCCCCTCCCCTGGTCAGGGGCGCACCCACCTAGGCGGCGGCGGGAGGCTAGGGCGGCCAGCACGCCCAGCAGCACCAGAGCCTTGAGGCCAATTGCGCCAAGCAGCAGGGCGTTGGCCGAGGAGGCCCCGGAGGCACCGTGGAAACGGAACAAGTAGACGCTGGCCTCCGCGCGGCCCAGGCTGTTGGAGGCAGTACACGTGTAGCGGCCGTCGTGGGCCAGCGCGGGCAGCTCTGCTGTCACCTTCTGGCCGTAACCCTGACCCGGGCCCGGCACGGCTGCCGAGCCGTTGCCCAGGGCTGGGCCGGACCAGGCGAGGGCGGGCGGCGGCTCCCCTTCGGCTGTGCAGAGCGCGCGGAAGGCGTGCGCTGGGCCAGGCAGCACCGAGATATTGACGATCCGCGGGGCGGCTGCGGGCCGTGGTCAAAGGTGGGGAAAAGGGGAGTGGGGTGGAGGGGAGAAAGCGAACTGCAGTCAGAGGGCGCGCGTGCGACCGTCAGGGAGAAGGGGTACCCCTCCCCGCGTCCCCTTTAGTCGCGCCAAGCAAGTTGGAGGAGGTGGGGGCGCGGAAAGGAGGGAGTGGGTTCTCGGAGTGCCAGCCTGCATGGGTCCCGATACAAGTGTGGCCTTGGGCAAGCTATTTCGCCGTTCTGTGCCTTTTTCTCCATGTGTGAAATGGGGATCACTTACCTTATGGGGTTGGGGAGAAGATCTGGCAAGTTAATAGGTGTGGGGTGTTTGGATTACGGCTTGGCGCATAGCAGATGTTCACTACCCAGTTATTACTGTGATTGTGCGGGGTTAGGGGCGGTCTGCTGGTGTGAATTCCAGGGCACCTCCCACAACCAGACAAGCTCACCAAGAGCTAAGGTTGAGGCTGATTCACTGAATCCGTGGGCCTGTGTTAGGCAGGCGCCGACCCTGGGAAGAAACTGAAATGCACTGAGTGACAGTCTAGCCAGCCTCAGGGCACAAGCGAAGTTCCTGCCAGAGCCAGACTCCAACCGAGAACTCCCGGGCCCACCCATAGCAGCCAGGGCTGAGAACCACGGCTCTAGGGACGGTTATCCCGGTTCCCCTATCTTTATGCCTCAGGGCTTAGCAAAGTGTTGGGCACGTGATTAGCTCCCTGTGCACCCCTACGGCCGCTTTCAGGGCACGCAGTACTCACCCCATTACAGCCCTTGCGTATTTAGGTTATTGTTCATTCGTTTATCTCTTCTCTGGACTGCGAGCCACCGGGGACTTGCACTCTCTAGGAGCTTCGTTACAGTGTTCATACCTGGGCCCCACCTAGCCCTGCCCGGGGCCAGGATTCTGCATTTCTGACAAGTTCCCAGGTGGCCCATCACCACCTCCAGGTGTGATACCTCTATACCCCCTGCTCTAGAGAAAGGGGTGTGTAATGTTCCTCTTGGGATCCCAGCGGCGGGCACCGAATCAGCCCTCCCGAGAGGGGCAGGCGGGCGGGGAGAAAGGGAAGGTGCCGCGCCGCCCGGCAGCCCCGGGCCCGGCTGCTCTCACCGGTCACGCGGAGCCGGACACCGTGGCGGCTCTCGTAGCGGTCGTGGAGATCTCCCGCGAACTCGACGCGGCAGAAGTAGCGGCCGTTGTCGGCCAGGGCGAGGCGCTCGACGCGCAGCGAGAGGTCGTTGCGGCGTGGGTTGCCCAGCAGGCGGAAGCGGCCGTGCGGGCTCAGCGCCGTCTGGCAGAGCTCGCTGCCCCGCGCCGCCGCGCACCGGAACACCTGCGGGCCCGCGTAGGGCTCGCCCGCGCGCCAGATGGCCGTCAGCGGCCCGTCGTAGTGGCGGTGCGGGTGCGTGAAGGTGCAGGGCAGCACGGCCGCCTCCCCTGCCGTCGCGCTCACCTCTGCGGGCACCTGCATGGACCAGCGCTGCGTCGGGGCGCCTGCAGGCAGGAGAGCGGGGCGCGTCAGCCTTACCTGAGCAGTGTCCTGGCCGCGGGCCCAGGACTCCGGGGGGGGGACCCTCCGTGGGGCCTGGAAACCCCAGGACTCAAGAGCACCCCCCGGGGATGGGATCTGGACACTCCCCCCGTCACTCGAGAGGCATCTCCTGGGACCTTGACTCCCAAGACTCACTAGGTGCCTGGACCCTCCCCATTTTTCTGGGACTATTTGCCTCTCTCTCTGGGAGGTTCCACCTCACCTACAGGCCCAGTGACCCCATCACCTGCCCTGTTGCAGAAAAGCCCTGGGATCCCGTGGTTACAATACAGTCCCAAGACCTCCAAGATGGTGAGAATAGTAAAAGCACTTACTGTGCTCCTCTGTGTTGAGCAAGTTCCTGGTAGTATCTTTTTTAGTTCTCACAAATGATCCTGGAGGTAAATAAACATAGTTTTCCCCCAGGTTACATGTTAAGAAACTGAGGCACAGGGAAGTTGAGTAATGGCTTGAGATCACACAGCTTGGCAAAGCTGGCATTCATACTCAGGACAGCCTGCTGCCAGAGCTGGCACTCCAGTTCACTAAAGGCATGGAAACCAACACTCTTATTTGTAGAGGGGAAACTGAGGCTCGGGAGGGGATGGTATGTTTTGAAGTTAATGTGTTGAGTTGGTGGACGAAATTCCTCTAGGACATCCAGGTCAACTCAAGTGGGCTTCCCATGAGGATACCGCCCAGACAGGGAGCTGAGAGGCCAAGAATGGTGGACAGTTATACTGCCTCTTTGCTCTGTGTAAGGACCTCTGGACTCAGTTTCCTCGCCTCCTGTGTTGTGAGCCTCTGAAGTATGGTTGAACTAAGGTCCAGAACCTGAGCTCTGCCTCCAGCTCACAGAGGGCTGTGTAGTTGAATATGTGCTGCTTTGAGAGCCGAGTGAGCCCGGCGTGTGGGTGGGTGTCAGCGCTGGTCCTTGGAGGATCAGGCGGGGGGTGGTGCTTCCCCAAGGAGGGAGGGCAGGCTTACCAGCTAGCGCCCAGGTGCAGGTCATGAAAAGGATATTTATTTAGAGGGAATTATGTAGCATTCCTTGTATTTCCAAAGGGCTTTGCAACTTACATACTTTTTTCACATACATTGTGTCACATGACCTTCAAAACACTCAGAGTCTTGAGAAAAGCAGGGTAGATACTGTTACAGGTGAGAAAAGGAAGGCCCGGAGTCACATAGGCAGAAGTTGGGAGAAACCCAGCTTTTCTGACTCCAAGTCTAGTACTCTTTGCTCTTTGGGGTATGCGGACTCATGCCCTGGGCAGGAATCTTCTCAGCCCACAGCTGGGAGCCCATCCCATCTATGAATAACATACAGGTCAGGACATTCCTCCTGCACAGAACTGACATCAACCACTACCCACATGACCACCACTGCTCTTCGGAGCACGTGCATCTCCTCCCCGGGTGGCCCTTCCGGCATCCCATCATGGCTATCCCGGGCTCATTGGGTCTTCCCTTCTCTGGTGGAAGTCCCAGTCCCCCACCAACCCCTCCCCAGCCTCACCGCCTGCTCTGTACTCCCCTTGCAGTGTAGTATCCCTGACCCAGGGCTCCAGGTGTGCTGGACTGGCAGAGCGGGGGGACGAATCGCGTTGTATGATCTGTGCCTCGTGTACAACCTCACTGCATTGCACTGAGCTTGCAATCAAGTAAAACCACAAGTTCTTTTTTCACACAATCTGCTTCTAAGCCAAATCTCTTTTCTTCCGGACAAGTGGAATTACGCTTTTGAACCCGAATGGAGAACTTGACATTTATCCCTAGTAAAGGTATTGTTTGCTCAATCGTTAATGATCAAAAGGCCTAGTTTCCAATTTGCGAAACCCTTTCTGAAGGTTCTGCTGGTTCAGTCAGCACTCCCAGCTGCAGAAAGCATCTCCCCGCTCTTGGGGCTCAGTCCCTGCCTCAGTTTCCCTGCACTTCGCACCCTCTATAACTTCAGCCTCCTCTGACCTCCTGCATCTCACAGGCATTCCAGATCCCCTAGGTATTGTTTGCTAGTGTGCATTCATCAATTAGCAAACATTTTTCAGACACTGAGCTACCAGCAGGGGTTACCAAGATCAACAGAGTAACTTTACCAGCCTGCTGGAGCTCACAGCTCAAAACGGGAAACAGATCTGGGAACACATAATTACCCTAGGGACTGCCAGGTCCTCTAACAAGAGACACAATGTTCCCTCTGTCTGAACATGGTTCCTGGCCCATTTCACTCACCAGCTTCCTCCTCACATCCCCAGGTCTTCTCGGAGTCTGCCTACAGTGGAAGGCCTACCTTGAGCCCCAAGCCTGGGCCTGGTGCCACGTCAGGGCTGGCAGAGGTACTTCCTTCTTATGGGCCTTACCTGTGAACTGTGTGTCTCACTCAGGCGCCCAGAAGCTCTGGGAGGGCAGGGACCACGTTCGTGTGGTCATACTTGTGTTGTTGTGGCCCAGCACGGTGCCTACCACGTAGTAAGTAATGCGGAATGGAATTTTATGACAGAGCAAAAGGGAGGGTGGTCTGGTTGGCTGGTGGTGGGAGCAAGAGGCATCATGCAGATTTTAGGCAGGCAGGGAAGGGAGGATCCATGCAGGAGGAAACTCCGTTTCAGCAGAGCCTTGAGAAAGGAGTGGGATGTTCCTAAGCCTTGAGGTGGATTGAAGGCAGTCTAGGCAAAGGGACAACACCAGGAGTCAGGGACATCAGATGCAGAGAGGTTGTAGGGCACATTAGAGGTTTAGGGGGACAGAGTCCGCAGTGCTTAGGGGGCTCCTTGGGGGAGATACCTCATCTCATTTCATATGCACCAGAACCCCAGGAGGGATTGTCATTCCCCTCTTTTAGAGAAGGGGGAATTGGAGCTCAGGGAGCACAAGTGACGTAGTTAGGACATTTGACCAACCAGCAGCAGAGCCAAGGCTTTGCCCACATTCTCACTTTGTCCCCTATGCTATGTTTCTTGAGTTTGATAGCCTAGTCTGGAATCATCCTGAAGTGAGATACAGATTGTAGGCCAGGGCCCCTCCTTCCCTGGGGGTTTTGCTGTAGGAGCACGGAGGGCACACAGAGGCCCTTTCGCCAAGTGTTACCATCTTGGCTCTTTGCAGAGTTGAAGGTGGGAGACTGTGTTTCCTGTTTACCTACTGAACAGACTCCCTCTCACACAGAGACTTTTGAATGAGGTTCTCCTTCCCCCGACTCCCCCTCTTCGCCCCCTTCGCCCCCTCGTGTGAGACTCAAAGTCAGCAGGAATTGTCCAGGGAGCAAATGCATTTGCTTTGGCAGAAATCCAAGCTCCCAGCATCCTGTGCCAGCTCCCTCTGGCAGCTCATACACGTCTCTTAAGACAGGGAAGGGACACCTTCTGAACTGGAACCATGCCCCTTTCTTGTAGGGTCTCTACTCTCCTTGTCTCAGGTCTGTCAGCCTCCTGGGGTCAACAGGAGGCCCACATTCTTCCCATTATCCAAAATACCTCCTCTCAACGGTGGGCCGCAGGGCATGGTGGCGAGCATTCCAGCTTTGGCACAGCTGGATCTGGGGGACAATCTCACTTGTGGTCATTCTTTCATCGGCCTTGCACTGAGCACCGAATCTGTGTCTGGCACTATTCTAGGCTCATTCACTTACCTGGAGATGTTTGGACAAGTTTCTTACTTAATGTCCCAGGTCTCCGGCTCCTCTGCGACTAAAAGGGGACCATAATACATTTCTCATAGGATTGGCGATTGAAAGAAATCACATATGTGGATCACAGAGCCTGACACCCAGCAGGGGCTCAATGTCTGTTCATTCCTTTCTTTCACTAGCCCTGCAGAGGGAGTGGAATGGACCAGTGGGTAGGGAGGGGTTGCTGACAGTAGTGGAGAAGTGCTCTGGGCATATAATCCAGGGTGATACTTCAGGAGGTTAAGACATTGCTACCTTGAGCCGGCACCATTTGCAGCTCCATTGGGCATCTTAGACCATGTGAAAGAAATATAATAAATAAATCACCTTGATGCCCAAGAGGGGAAAGGTAGGAGAAAAGTCCTTGCCCTTCACTCACCTGACACCTGGTCATTTATATATTCACTCAATAGATATTAATTGAGGGTCTATTGTGTGCTAGATATTGTGCAGGGTATTAGAGGTACAACCACAGTGACATGTACTGGCCCTCCTCAGTATGTTTACAGTCTGGCCGTTGCTCAGCTACTGTTTGATTCTCATTTATACATAATTCAACAAATTTGTTTGATTAGCTTCTCAGCCAGGGAAATACAAAGTTAAAAGCTGGAAAGTGGATTCTGTTTTGTAAGCTCACCGAAATCAGCCAGAAATGACAACCGACAGGGAGGAAGGGTCCAGTAAAAATAATGAAAAGACGGCTCAGGATAGAAATGACAAAAGCACAGCACAAAAGGTACCATTTATAGAAGGATTAGCGCAGAAGGTCTTCAGGTATCACAACACCACTGCAGCAGGTGTAACAGGTGCTCACAGCCATGACCCAAGTCACCTTGCAAAGGTTCATTGCCATGAGAGGCATGGGCCCCAGATGAAGGATCAGGGGTCTGTCTGGGGCTCTAGCCCTGGCTGGACTGAACCTGACTTTAGATAAATCCCCATAGCTCTCTAGCCTTGGTGGGCTCATCCATGAAATGATGTCTCTAGATGTTTGCTAAGGTCACCTTTCAGTCTAAAAGTCTATTCTGAAAATGATATTTCGATACAAATGGCAAGGAAGTCCATAAAGCATTTTAGAAATATGTCTAACTTTTAGGGGGGTGACCAGTTAGCTCAGTTGCTTAGAGTATGGTGCTGATAACACCAAGGTTGCTGGTTCGATCCCTGTATGGGCTACTGTGAGCTGCACCCTTCTTAAAAGAGTAAACTATGCCATTGTAGCATGAAAGCAATGTGTAACCAATGTGCAACCCAATAAAAAAAAAAAGACTTTTAGGTACTTAAAAAAGGCATTAAATATTCAGAAAACTCAGCTGCTGGAAAAGATGCATCTATACCTTGATGGTCCCATGCAGCCATTTGTCAAACTCTCCACATTACCCCTCATGGTGACTGGTGCTCAGGAGGGAAGGGCAGGGGCTGAGGCTGCAGCCCTGGGCACCAGCTCCTGCATCGTCAGAATCACGACTCAGCTAAGGTGTAGTTGACTCTCTCTGAACATATTATCCCAAAGTCCCAAGCCAGTGGTGCCAGGGTGGGACAAGAACTCGTGGGAGATAGACGCCTACCTATAGAACCTGGACGGGCAGAAGCAGCATCTGGATGGATCAGAAATAGAAACCTTGGTTTCAGCAGAAGCCGACCAAAGATTTCCACCAGTTCCTTGGTGAGGAGGAAAGCAGGAATGTGCCTGGGAGCCTCACTGTAAGCCATTTGCAGTGTATTCTATGCTAATTGTGCTTATGTTAACTACGGAAAAAACTGTTGATCGGTTTTGTCACAGAATGTGGGTCAGTCACTGTCTGTGGATCACAGACACAGCAAAATGATCCAGGGGTAGTCCTGGTGGGGCAGTGGTCAGTGGGGGTTCCCTCACGGAATGCCACCTTACCAAGAATTTGGACTGCTGGAGGGGGCCGGGGGGAGCTTTATGTGCTAGTTTTCTGAAGGAAACTAGTTATGGACTTTGAGCGGGGGGGAAAGGATGATACCAGCTAGGCCATCACCATGGACCTCTGGAGGGATAGCCTCATGGCACTCAGAGCTGGGGCCCCTCCGAGGTCTGCTGTGCTGCTGCCATGACGGTTGACATTACCAGTTGACAGGTAGCCAATCTGATGAGCCCAACTATGATAAGGGGGCTACACTCCTGGGGGACAATGGGCATGTTAACAGGGGTGTTCTCAAGGAGAGACTCCAGTGGCAGCCTTTCAGGCATGGTGGCACCTGGGCTGTCAGGAGAGGACATTTTGGGGGCACAGAGAGATGTTCATCTTGGCCACCAAACCACATCAGTAAGGTGTGTGGGTTGAGCTAGGAAACTGCATTTCTTCCAATTCTCTCCTGCCCCTCAGTTTTCTCCTGGGCATTCTTCTCTCTGTTCAGATACGTTATCAGTGGAGAAAAGATGAGAAAGGCGAAAGGAGGGAGAGGAAATGGGAATTCCATCCTTCACTGTGAACCACATCTAGAAGGTTCTAGGGAAGAGGTGAGGTACAGGGACATGTGAGTGCAGGGCCTGCTGATCTCCTTCTGCCCTCAGGGTGATGCCAGCTTCTCCTTAACCCTCACCTCTCTGGCCACCTGAAAATGGACTGGCTCACCTGAGCTGACGGAGATGCAGAGACACTGGTCCTGAGGCCAGTGTCTGCCACAGGGCACTGCTCTTCAGAGCTCTGATTTAGCCTGTGTCTGCCCATGCTCCTCTGGCCTCCTCAGGGGACCATTCCCCCCTTCACTCCTCCTCCTCCCTGGGTAGGACTTCGTGGCTAAGCTACTGGCCTCAGTAGCCAACATGAGCAAAGTGCCCTGCTCATTAAACCCTTCCATTTCCTCCTGGACCCATGACAGCAGTCTATCTCCTTCCTGAGTTTTTTTCTCTGTAACTCCATGCCCTCGGGTGATGGCTGCGATTTGTCTGACCTTTTAGGTTTGTTTCCCTGCAGTGGTTCAGAGCTGTCAAATAATTTCCTCTGAGCACCCAGCTTTGCCCCAGGCTCACCACCACTGCATGTAGGTTGTGTGAAGGGAGGCCTACGCTCAGCAAACACTAGTTCACATCCCAGCTGTGACATCCCAGAAAGTCAACCTGACCTCCCTAAAACAGGGACAAGGGTCCTCACTTTTCAGGGTTGTGGTGAAGAGTAAATGAGCTGTTTGTCAAAGGCCTGACACAGAAGTCCTTGAAAAGGACAGCTACTGTGATCGCTACACCTGCTTATCAGAGATTTGTGGACAGATTGAGGACTTTACCAAGGCCACTCACATGGTCGGAGCTCGCAGACCACCTTCCATGTTCCCTAGCACCTCCAGCTTTCTAAAAGAAGATTTAGAGGACCAGGCCGGCCGAGTGGCTCAGTTGGTTAAGAGCTCGCTCAAGAGTTTGAGCTCTGAGCAACAGCGGTTCAATGCCCAGCCCAAGCTGAGCTGCCGCTGAGCTGCCAACAGGTAGCAGGATGGCTCAGCTAAAAAAAAAAAAAAGAAAGAAGATTTAGAGGGAGGCAGACAGGAAGGAAAGGGAGAGTGTATGGAGACCCTGGGAGATGAGGGGTTGCCCAGGGCACTGGGTGCTGGCGGTGGATGATACCAGTTTGAAGGAGGAGGGGCAGAAAGAGAAGGGGTTTCCCAGGACAAATTTCTCCTGATTAGGGCAGGGACCTCCTGCCCAGTTCTTCTGCCCCATGGAGAAGCTCACAGGTGAGTAGCACTAGAGGGGTTTCAGAAAGTGGAACCTTGCTCACCCTGGTTACAGACATCTGGGTTTTAGCAGTGAAGCAGCTGCCAGTGTGAAAAGAAAAAGGCCTCTTCCACAAACCGGCTCACACATGTGGCTGGGCCTTCTGGGTAATCTCAACACACTGCTGACGCGTTTGTGTGGTTAAGGTTTGGTTTCTGAACATGTGACTGCTCATGCTTCCTCTAAATCTTTTTGTCTTTCACTGATTCATAGCAGCTGACCCTCAGCAGGAGGAAGGAAAAAAAAAAAAACAAGAAAAAAAAGACAGACCCCCGCATACCTAGCTTGTCTTGAAGCTATGCGACTTCTGCAACGTTTCATTCCCATTCGACTACTGAGCTCCAGGAACTGTGCTGGAGGCCTTTCATCCATGATCTAATTATTCTTCACAACACCACCACGAGGTGGTAGGGACCCCACTTTACAGAGGCTTGGAGAAGTTAGGCAACCTTCCCAGGGCCACACAGCTAGTAAATAGCAGAGCCAGGATTCAAAGCCATGTCTAATGTAAACACTCACATCCCAGACTGCTCTCTATCTGCCTCAGGTCTGGACAGGGTCACCTCCTCCAACCTCTACCGTCTAAGTGGGACCCAACCCTAAATCATCCCAGAAAGATAGCTGAGTTAGGTCCACTTGGGAGAAGAAAGCCCCTCCCCCATTAGCTCCCACCACTGGATTCTGTGCAGGAGACAGCAGGCAGCGATGGGGAAGCCCAGTCTAGGGCCACACACACCTGGGTTCAAACCTCAAGTCCACCCTGCATCACTCACTGAACCTCTCTGTGCCTCCGTTTCTTCATCTGTGGAAAGGGAATAGAATAGTTCATTTCTCATGGGTTCTGAGACTCCTGTGAGTTACTAATTGAAGCGTCTGCACTTAGTAAGAGCTATGTGGGCACTTCCTGTAACTATCCACCCCAGACCCTGACTGGACTCGGCTCTGTGTCCAGTGCAGACTCGTGTGGACTCGGCTAGAGAGGATAGAAAGGAACCAACAGAGTGGGAGTTTATTATCCAGTCGTGAAGAGAGGAACCTGCGAAAGGACTGTTGAATTTTGCAGTCCGTGATGTCACCATGCCACACGTGACAGCCAGTGGCTGTGCACATGGAGGCTGAGTCCAGGAGCACAGTCATGAGAAGGACATTTCAGGCTGTGGTCAAGGAAAGGACTGAGGCCGCACAGAGGGGCTCAGGGGATGGTCTCTGTCCTTTATCCGAATGCCCTCAACTGCACCGACCATCAGAATCACCCAGGACAATGGTTGAAAATGCAGATTCCTGGGCTCTGCTGCCTGACATTGTGATTCCACAGGTCTAGGGTGGAGCCAAAGGAGCTTCATTTTAAGAAGTGTTCCCTCCCCTGGGATTCTGAGGGTCATTGACCACCCATTGAGACACATTGTTCCCAGGAACGCTAACTCACTGAGCTAAGTGACCCATGATATTGTTACTTAAGCCTGCCATGAAAAGAGCTCCCACTCACCCTTTGGGGTTTCTGCTAGTTGGTCAGGGTACCTTCTATCATTTGCCCTATTCACCATGTGAAATCATCCCCACCCTTACCCCAAACCACCGTGTGCTCTCTTCACTTCTTGGGTCTGTACCCACCCATCAGGACAAAAACACTCAGATGACAGCAACACCCAAAGTCTATTCAGAGCCTGCCTGGACTGTCCTCTTACCTTGCCCATTACCTCCCTGGATCCTTACAGAAATACATGGAGCAGGTGGCCTTTCTACAGATGGGACACTGAGGCCCAGAGAAGTTTGGGGGCTGCTTCAATCACTGGGAGTCCACGGCGAAGCCTAGACTTGAACTTCTGGCTTCTGTTACCATAGCCTCCCAAAGCGCAGCTTCTCCCCCTCCACAGTCCTGGAGGGTCTGGGTAAGCCCGGCTGCTCCAAGTTCAAGGAGAAAAGACTGTGCCTGGTAGGATTTTGGGAGTATCTATTCTGTTCTCAGCATGGGCCAGAGAGAAGAGTGGGAAACTCACCCATCGGGAGGACGCACACCAAGCAGGCCAGGAGTCGGATGGACCCTTCCATGTTGTGAGTGCCTGGCTAGCCCCCACCTTCAGCCAGGCCACCACTGAGAGCCCTCCTTAGTGTGGGTGTGGGGGAGGGAAGGTGGGAAGGGGTGGCAGTGTGCCCAGGTCTGCACCCCTGCCGGGCTCTGCAGGCGCTGAAGGAACTGGGGAGAGGCAGCCAGGAAGCCCGAGGTATGATTGGAGACCCGTGGGGCTTAGTCATGTGGAAAACCAAGAGGGGAACCAGTTGGATGATTTTCTGGACAGGAAAAAGAGAAGTGGATGGGGAAGAGCAGGACCCTTTCCTGTGGCCACTGGTCCCTTTGGACAAACTGCTTGCTGTGCTTATGCTGCCCTCTCTCCGTCCCTTCCTTTCTCCCTCTCTTCCTCCCCTTTTCCTTCCTTTCCGTCCCCTTTCTCTTCTTACATTTTTGGTATGCCAGGGTGGGTTTTCTATCCCTCCACCCCCTTCTTTTCTCCCCCTTTCCACCCCTCTTCAAAGTGTGGCCGTGGAAAGTTGTCAGTACTTGCAAGGAAAAGACTTGTCTGCAGAGTCTTCACCAGTCAAGGAATTAGGAAATTCCCAAAGCAGTATTATTGAATCAATTGAAAATATAAAATAGGAAACAAACTGGAAGCCATAACGTAACTGGTCCAAAATCAGGTAGCTAGCAAATGGCATAGCCAAGATGTTAGCTGAGCTTAGCCTGACTTCAGAGTCTGTTCTTTCCACACTGATCCCTTATAATTGTTTTTGTATTTAATCATTCAGTTCATTCATTCATGTTCTATAGAAATTACACAGGATTTGATCACCATTACCTGTGCAATTTCATATTGTATGGTAGTTACCATTTTGAAATCATTCTAGCATTGAATAATGAACAATTCACCAGTTTTAAGATGCCATTGCCATTCTGCATGAGCACATAT